AGAATAGAATAGAATAGAATAGAATAGAATAGAATAGAAGATAGGATAATATAGGAATAGAATAGAATAGAAGATAGGATAATATAGGAGTAGAATGTAATAGAATAAAAGATAGGATAATATTAGAATAGAATAGTATAGAATAGAAGATAGGATAATATAGGAATGAATGGAATGGAATAGAATAGAAGATAGGATAATATAGGAATGGAATGGAATGGAATAGAATAGAATAGAAGATAGGATAATATAGGAATGGAATAGAATAAAAGGATAATATAGGAATGGAATGGAATGGAATGGAATAGAATAGAATAGAATAGAATAGAATAGAATAGAAGATAGGATAATATAGGAATGGAATGGAATAGAATTCTTTATTGGCCAAGTGTTACTGGGCACACAAGGAATTTGTCTTGGGGTGCATATGCTCTCAGGGTACATACAAAGAAATAAAATACATTCATCAAGAATCATAAGATACAACACTTAGTGATAGTCATAGGATATTAAAAAAGCAATCAAATCATACTCGGAAACAAAAACAATTATAAAAATGAAACAAAACAATCATTCCTAGCAGGCATGTGACTGTAGTAGGTGTAGCTTTCATTCCCCATGCAAATATTGCAAGACAGGGCCTGCCCCGTAAAGAGTGTGTTGGCTGCAGAGCATTCCTCTCTTCAGGAGGACAGAGCAGCAGCTACCAGCACCATCTCCTTCCGAGAAAACACGGTTCCGGATTGCATTGACAACTGACCCCCTGATAGCTGATCTAACCCTCTTGTTTTGTTTTACAGTGGGGGCAGGAAGGAGCAGCTTCCTGCCTCTTCTTCCCTTGGTGATAGGCCTGGCCTAAACAGTCCAAACAGACAGTGAGGAAAGTGCAAGTAAGCCTCAACTTACAACAGTTTGCTTAGCGACCGTTCAAAGTTACGATGGCACCGGGGAAAAAAGTGCCCTTGGACCATTTCTCACACTTATGGCCGTTGTAGCATTCTCCTGTGGTCCCCGTGATCAAAACGTGGACACCTGACAAACCGGTTCATATTTATGATGGTTGCAGCATCCCGGGGTCATGGGATCCCCTTTTGCGACCATTTCCCAAGGGAAGCCAGGTTCATTAAAACTATCAGGTGCAACAATTTGCTTAACAATTCACTTCACCAACAGTCTCCCTTAGCCACGGGAATTTTTTTGGCTCAGTTATGGTCGTTAAGTCGAGGACTACCTCTTATCAGAATTGGTTAAAACAGAGAAGCTGCTGGCATACAATCTTGTTTTTTTTAACCAGGGAGCTATCGGCCCTGGCATTCTGTTTGAGATTGTTTCTTGCCTTGGGTCGTCCGTTTAAAGACCCTGTCCGAAAGAGCATGAAACGGAGCAACATTTTCAAATCAGGAAGTCTGTGATTTTGGCAGCGTGTCCCCCCACATCTCTCGGAGCAGGCTGAAAGTCCCTGCTAGGATTAAATGCTCCACATTATTTTAATGGCAAACTTCATGATAGCAATATTCCAGGATTTGAGGGGCTGCCACAAAGGGGGTCAACTTATTTTCCAAAGCACCAGAAGGCAAGATAAGAAACAACGGATAGAAGGAGAGAAGCAACCTGGAATTAAGGAGGAATTTCCTGACAGTGAGGAGGACAGCGGAACAGCTTGCCACCGGAAATGGTGGGTGTTCCATCACTGGAGGTTTTTAAGAAGGGACTGGACAGCCACGTGCCTGAGATGGTATAGGGTCTCCAGCTTGAGCAGGGGGCTGGACTAGAAGACCTCCAAGGTCCCTTCCAGCTCTATTTTGATTGATTGATTCACCTGCATGATAGCAATGCCCTGTAAAGAAGAGAACGTTCTCCATTCAGGCCCCTCTCAAATTCACTCCTCCTTTTGTTCATTTAAGTGGAATTTCGTTCATGAGTTTGTTAAGGCTGAATGCAGTTCCCCCTCCTGTTGAGTTCCTTTATTGAATTACCTGTTCATAAAATTCAGGTTTCCAGCGAGGTCTAACAGCCCAGGTTCCTGGTGATTGTCCACTTAGGTTGCTTTGACAGGCAATTCTGGCAATTCCCCACCCACTTCCATGCAGGCTACTGAATCACTGATGAATTATGTTCCTTTTTTTTTTTTTTTTTTTTTGCTTGTTGCTGTTAAAATAAAAGGAGCAATTTTAGCCACATTTCACTTCCGCCTAACTTAGCAGCCCTCCGAAGCGGCAGGCTTAGTCTGTGGAACCTTAGCTTGGGGCATTAAGAGGATTGGGGTTTTGGGTTTTTTTTTTTTTTTAATATATTAGGATAATCTTTTGTGGGACAGGTTCCCAAGCGAAGCCATGCATCACTGCCCTCATCTGCTTCCTCCCCACCCGCCCAGTGGGTTTAATCCTTGTGGTGTTGTGTGTTTTCTGACAGGCCCATAACGATGGCGACATAGCTGCTGGCGTCTCCTTGCTGTCTAACAGCAAAGACATGTCTGCTTGTGTTGCTCCAAACCTCGAGCAGCTGTCACAGGTTGGTGAACATCCACTTCTCCCCGGTAGTCCTCGACTTACACAGTTGAGCCCAAACTTTATTTTCCGAAGTTCTAAGTGAAATTTGTGTCCCATTTTGAAATCTTCCTTGCCACAGTCATTCAGTGAATCCCTGCAGTGGTTAACTTAGTCACCTGGTTGTTAAATGAATCGGGATACTGCAACAGTCATAAATATGAGTCACTTGCCAAGAGTCTGAATTTCGATCCCCTGACCACGGGGATGCTGCAACCGTTGTAAGTGTGAAGATCAGTCATAAATCACTTTTTTTTCAGGGTTCTTATAATGTTGAATGATCACTAAACGAACTGCTGTAAATTAGGGCTACCTGTCATGCTCCTGTTGTTGTCCGATTCCGAGGGAGAGGTGGAACAGCTGACGGAGTGGGAGCGTGGCTCCGGTGGCTGTGGAGGAAACTGGGGAGGGGCACAGTCTGGCTGGGCATTCAGAGGAAGACCCAGGCCCACCCCCTCTTCATCCTAGGGCATGCAGGGAGGAATGGAGAAGGGAGCAACATGGGTTACGGGGGAGAAAAAGGCCCTGATTCCCTTCATTAGCTGCAGCTGGGGAAACAGGATAGAAGGGGCATTTGTGCACAGAATCTTCCTGGAAGCAAAGCGTGCATTATGTTTGTTTGTCAAGTCTTATCTGGGTTCTGGCGTCCTCCCAACTTTGTGTGTTTGTTATCTTTTGAGTTCTGCAATTCCTTATCCTGCCCTGTCTTGTTAATTGCTGCAGCGTGGTTTGTGTTGGTGTTTATTTATAAGTTATATGTACTTTGGGTTCGGACTAAATTTCTTCCCTTTAAAAACTGCTCTTGGGAGAGTTTTTTGCTCCAGCCAATGTTAACTGGACATTGGGGGCCAAGTTGGAGGAATTAAAGGGACTTTTGTGACTTTGTTGCTTTTGTGCCACGCCCTTTGGGTCATCACACTACCTGTACTTGATAAGCTAGAGACAAGTTCCCCGAAGATGGGCTCCGAAAGCTTGGAAGACTAAACCTCTGGTCCCAGGGACCGACCCAGATTGGATCCTGCAACATTATCCTGGGACACCATCCACCTTCTTTTGTGAAGGTCTCTGTGGTGACCTGGGGCACAGAGGCAACAAAGGCAGCTGACCGTTCAGACCTCCCCTTTTATTGCTCCAAATTGCCCCCAATGCTCACCATCTCAGAGCAAAGTAATCACACACACACCTCCAGCAGCCCCTGGCTGCAAGTAATCCAGCACCAAGTTGTGAGCACAACAGCTGCAAAGCAAGAAACCCAACAGGGCAAGTTGGGGAGTCCAGGAAGCAAAGGAGCAAGGCAGTCATTCCAGAAAGCCGGAAAGAATGCAAGGAATCCAGGAAAATTCAAATGTCGGCCCTCGACCCTCTTATGAATTCAGCGTTTTTTTCCCTCCCCGCAGCGTCTCCTCAAGTCTCAGTCCCCAAGCGTGCTTTGTGAAGAGGGGCAGGATGCTCTTCTCCCGAGTAGTTCTCAGCTTCTCTCTCAGGAGGGGATGGTCCTTGCTCATCACCTGGCCTCTGTCTCGTGTTCACTGTTTAACTTCTCTTGGTCATTCTGCCTCCCCTTCCTCCCTGCCTATAAGCCGTCCCAATCCTGAAAGGCTCTGGCCTGACTGGGCCTGCTCCTCCCCATTTTCCTCCGAAGCCAACAAAGCCGCCCTCTCGGTCTCCATTGGCTCCAGTTCCAGCTCATCTTCCTCCGATTCAAGCTCCGACATGGGCATGACAGTCTCTCTGCGTCTACCTGTATTTATTACCTGTATATACCTCTTTGAAGTATAATCTCGTGGCTTAATCGCGCGTCTCTCTCTCTCTCTCTCTCTCTTCCACAGATCGGTGACACTGATCATAACACTGTGTTGGACGAAAATAGGTGAGAGATGTTTCTTTGGTTTCACTTTCTACAACAGAAAGTCTTTTCTCTCCGCTCTTTTCCTGGCCACCGAATAACAGACGAGCGATCCCAGCTTCCTTATTAACCCCTCGTCTCTCCTTTAGGTCCCTCTCGACGACGGAGAGCCTCCGCAAGCTCTCTGAGCAGCTGAACGGCATGGTCAGCCAGGTAAGAAGCCATCTTTGACTTTTGAGCTTATTTCTTTTATGTAAAATGAAATCTCAGAAACAAACCTTGGAGTTTGGGGTCTTTGGTGCCCTCCAAGCCGGGTTGTTTCCTTGCAGACGTTTCACAACCCAACTAGGGAACATCATCAGCGCTAGAAGGTAGCACTGGGTAGAAACTTGCTCCCCTCCAGCACTGATGATGTCATCTAGTTGGGTCATGAAACGTCTGCAAGGAAACAGCCCAGCTCAGAAAGCACCGAGGACCCTAGTTCAAGTCCAATATTCTCTTTTCTTGAAACTTATAAGGATTCCAGATAATCAGAGTTAGGGCAGCTTGACAGTGAAACAATAAAGCAGTTTTGCCACGGGGGTCTGTGGGAAACGTGGGTGGAAAAACATTTTCAAGGCTTATCTCGGGGGGTCTTCAAACTTGACAGCTTGAAGACTTGTGGACTTCAACTCCCAGAATTCCTCCTCCGGTCATTTTAGCTCTGGAATTCTGGGAGTTGAAATCCACAAGTCTTAAAACTTGCCAAGTTTGAAGACTCTTGGCTTATTCCTTTTCAGGAAAAAAAAAAAAGCATTTAAGTAGAGATTGGATCCATGAAAATAGAACAATATTGGAAGGAGAAGGGAATTGGCACAATCAATCTGTCTGTCTTCAGGGCTCTGAAATC